ATACCCAATACAACTCTATGGTCACTCATAAAAAACTCATGACTGGTATGTACTGAGATAGAGTCTATGTTGATTGTGAACATTAAATCAAGTGTATTATTCCCCCTGGTTGGTTTTCGGACCTGTTGAACCCATCCACAAATTTCTAATGTTTCAACTAGCTTGTTATATCGACCTGGTACCGGAGTCAAGCCCCATTTAATTTTTGGCAGGTTAAAATCGCCTCCGATGATTTTAAAAGTATGCGGTTGGTGCGAAGCAATGGAAAATATGTTTGTTAGTAATTTGTCAAACTTAGTATCCGCATGAGGTGGTCTATATATGCATCCCACAAGTAAATAATTTTGGGATCCACAGTTTACAGTAACCCAAGTGGAGTCGTCTATAGCATCAAGGGATTTATCCTCAAATTTGCACGCTTGAATGTCTGAACGGACATAGATAATTGTACCGCCTCCTATTCCATAACATCTATCGGTTCTAAAGAAAACGTAGTTATTCTGACGAACAACATAAACCACCGCACATGTATACCTTGGAAAATTCGGTCTACAATGCTTGTTATTAACGTCTGACAAGCAAACATTTAGCTATCTCTCCTCAGCAGTCGCAGCCTATGTAATAGCTGTTTGTTTCTCAGATTCTTGGGAATCGAGTTAAACCAGGCATATGGTTCACTGCACTAACTTGATTCGAGACCAACACATCCAGTGATACCAACAAAACTTATAGATTGTCTGGACTTGTGTGACCTGTCTCGGTACATTGATCTGTTCTGTTGTGGTAATCTACTTCAACTTTTATGGATGGCAGTTACTGCGAGACTTTTGACACTTGTGATGGGTTCTACTGTGACGAGACCTGCTGATATTTCATTAATTTGCGTGTTGCGTAACATATGCGGCCGAACTGTACGGATGTCACTTCATAATCCTATTCTCAATGCGTGTTCAATGAGGCCTTGTGTATCCAGTGTTAATTGTGGCACGGAGGAGTTTATATCCATTTTTAAGACCGCTTCACCCATAATATTATCGCTGACCAAGACTTACTGATGACTTCAGAACTTGGATGATGACCTATGACCCGTTTCCGCTCGTCAATTTCTTAAGATTCTCTGACTGTTTGATAGACGGACGATTTATTATTTCACATCCTATGATTGTGTATGGTTTAAATTTGAGAGGGCCTCAAATGGAATCACGGATTTCTCTGGAAGCTGAAATTGTAAGCAAAGTGTACGAATATTGGTGCCGAATTCTGTGATGACTAAAAATATTTGAATTGTTGTACTCAGTAAAAATTCCCGAACTAATGAAATTCACAGAATCTAGAACGACGTAAGTACAAAAGAATCATTATTTCGTAAGAATAACGCATGTGTCACAGCTTAAAGTAGAATCTAAATTTATTTAATCGACTGTACTTCTTCTTAGGTTCATTGTGTGTCTGTTTGACTGCGTATTGGATGTAGACACTGAGTGGTTCAGGATGTACTAATTAGTGTTGAACTTAACAACTGAAACTGAAAAAGACTAACCTGGTTCCTGGAATTTTATCTAACCAACATGTGTACTTAAATCACTGTTATCTAGAAACGGAACCATAGATTTTCCAACACTATTCTCACCCAAGAAGTAATGTTGCATCTTCATATCCTCAAGTTACAAATAATGTGGCTTCATTTGAAACATATTTCTCACATTGACAAGAGGATTCACTTGCGGATATATAGAATTTGATATGAAATTATCCGAACGGTAATCACGTTTGAAATCACTTAGAACTCATGTTTCACGCTGATCAAGTCTCTCATCAGAAAGAAATGTATTATGAAGACAAATTGCACTTTATATGACCTCGGGATTTAATACTTCAAGGAATAATTTCCTCAAATTTATTGAGAATTTCTTTTGAGAACAATGGATCATGAGAAAAATCAGCATCTATCCAAAATCGCATTAGATTTCCGATCATGACTTGACCCATCCAACATATTTTTCTCATTTTTGTAAGAATTTCCATCAAAGATATGAGAATCATTAAGACATCTCATATCTGGTGAAATATCATGAGAAATCTGACAAGAATTTGATTCATTAGAAACTTTTGTCCCACAATGATTTTGACTTTCATTTCATGCACTTGTATCAATTGCACTGTTCCAGTTATTTTCTGAATACGAGGTCCTCCAGCTTTCCCGGCAAATATCACGCGATGTATGAGTTTATTTTGGCTGGAGTTTAGTTTCAGAGTTATGCTAGGTTAATGAAGCTTCATTTGATTACGAACTGAGATGTGACTCTAGACTACTTGTGTCAACAATAAAGCTATGGAATGAACCAAGGAGGGTATATAATTGCTTTTGACTATGGACATTACCTTCCGAAATCGTGGATAAAGATAAACGATCACTAGAAACGCCCAACTTAATAAAATACGAACTACGGAGTTTATAATCACTTGTGGCAAAGTGAACAGTAGCTCTGCAAACAGATTTTATGTGTCCCATATATCCAAACTTAAAGCATTTGGCATGACGAAAGACACATGAATTACGTAGATGAAATTTACCATTAGTTAGGCATTTACCAAATCTGTGCTCACTTCAGTAACCTGCTTTGCAACTTCTCGATGAAGTGATATCTGGATGACCTTTAGTATGCATTGGATTGGAACGATCAAGTAATGTAGAATTCTTGATGTTCTGGATAATCACTTCTTGAAATTTTGCTTCTTCATGGAACTGAAATTAGTACATTTTACATAATTTTCTAGTAGTTCCTTGAAAGTTTCGTAGGGAAGTGAAATAGACTTATCTAAAAGTCCCCGTTTACAGTAAACTGAAGGCATCCTTTCTGATGAATGTAAAGACGTAAGCCACAGTTTTGTCATCCTTAACATCTTTCCTGGTGATACTCCAGATTTCAAATCTTTCCATGTGACCTTTGAAAGCTTCAGAATTTGAACGTATGTCCAATTGTTCAAACACAGGCTCCATCGTAAAGTCAATATGATGATTAGGAGAATTCAAACTAAAGTACCAACCAGGGATTCCAGAAATAGTGCAATTTAAGTTAGATGGAACTATTTGAGCATAAGTGAATAGATTTGGGAATCGTAATCAGCGGCAACCAAGTACAAAAGAATCACTAGTTTGTACAAATACCTCGAATTCCCATGGATTTATTGTCGCACCTCGAGATGCAGTGCTCCAGTTGACCTCCAGCTCATCTGTTAATGGGCATATAAAATATTTCTTCTAAAACAAGGAAGCACCTCTTGTTAGACTAATATTTACGCTCTCCTCAGGTACGGAAACCAGAAGACAGTGTGATATGCAGTCAAAATACTTAGGTACACACGCTTCAGAAGTCAGAAGACGAATATATGAGTGGTATTACTCACATAAAATTTTGTCTATGCCTGCCTGCAGTAATAGAAGAAATTGTTGAGGAGTCTATCACGTCAGGTACAAGGATCTGCTGTGGTCTAATAACATGTTTGGATCCATCCACCTGAGTGCTTATTTTTATAAAATAACGTCGGTAGGATTCTGAACATCTTGGCGGTGATTCATGGAAGTGGGCATCGGTCTTCAGAACGTGACACACTGTTACCTATGGATCATTGTGGGACAAAACTGAGGAAACCGACTATTATCCAATGCAATGGCCATTTTTCTTCATATCTCTAATCTCTACAATGATACGCATCAACTAGGTCTTAGACCAGCTAACCAGGACGTTCAGGTTGACCCGAAGTGCACACACAGATGCATACCCAAGTGCTTCTCTCCAGATTTACATACCACCAGTATATGGTAACACTAAATACTGATTTCTATGAAGAACACTTGGAGTTTATCCTTTCTGATCGAAAGATCCCGACCCACTAAAATCAGAAACCAGGAATGTAGGGGGTCGAAGATACATTTAGAAGGTATTCGTAGTGTCAAAGTGTTTGACTTAGTCTGACTGGCTGTTGCGAAGGATGTGTTTCAGGGTGTATGCAATGGTGATCTGATGCACATACGCGATCTAACACCTTCAGCTAGGGTGCGTCCAGTAAAGCTACTGAGGTCAGAAACATTGTCAGGGACCGACAGGAATATTTGTTTTGGGATTTATATACCGCTGCAAAGCTTTCAAGTCCAGCCTAAATGGAAAATAAGTGCCTCTAGGTTGGAGCCTTGGTATATTAAAGAAAAACCGAATTAGAAAATTTAGAAGTCCAGTTTTAGGTACTGTGTTCGATCCATGACAAAACATGTTTCCCTTTAGGAGTCTTTCAGTAGACCTGATTGGACTTATTTAGGCATAAGGAAATGTGGAATTTTGTCCACTTCTTCTGAAAAGTAATAATTTTTTGTGACATCAGATACATGCGATTTTTATTGATTTGCCACTAAAGCGAATTTGTCCATCTCTTTCTTGCCATAGGGAAGTTGACTATGCACGATAATCCCTTAACAAAATCATGCCCGATGTTCAACGAGTTGTTGGTTTTCATGGACGTCTTAGTGGTCTTTAAAATTATTCTCAAAATATCTTGACTTGCATAGTGAGATTGACAGGTCTACAGATTGATAATTCAAATAAGCGACCGGTAACTAGAATGAAAATAATATAGAATAACAGGAATTGGGAAAATTTAGACCCAAAATCAGTTTTAAAGTTTAGAATTAGATAGCAATCTTAAAATAAAACTAGTCGTAATGAAACATGTTTGGTGTACAGCGGTTGAAATAGTCATTCTCTGCAGATTCCCCGAAATATGTAACTGCCCAACTACCATCTTTATTACTTTTTAAAAAGTGATGTGATACTTTCATAATGACCCAGAATGGCTTCTCAATGAATTATCATTTATTTCCCCCATTTCTTTTTTCATAATCTTTAATCTTTGCTTAGGGGGATCATCAACCCATTGAGATTGAGTACCTCAATTCGCCAAGAATCAGCTTCTCATAATTTATCTATACTTATTTAAAAAAATTAATGACATTAGCATCTAGTTGTTTATCTGCACTACCAGGGTCCATCTTGGTCGGTTTCGGGACATACATATTGCTTCGTGTAAGTTGCTTTGTTTTTTCCCATCGATACCAAATATCGTTCATCATTTCTCAGGTTCTTTACTGTAGGGGTTACAGTAACGTGAATCTCCAAGATTTACATGTAAACGTATTTCATTCTGATTACGTAGTTTAATGTCGGTGGTGAATGTTCCTCAAGGGAAGTCTTACTTCGTGTTGTTGCCAAATAACCTGTTTGTCACACTTGGAGACCACTGGCTACAGACACGCAAATACAACTTGTTTAGATTCAGATTTATTTGTTGAGCACTGTTGACCAAACATTTTGCCCCAATCTTCCTATTTTGGGGTTTTCCCCAAAGTTTGGAGGAATCCCCTAAACGGACAGAATTCTCTACAAAACTGAAAGATTGGGACGTTAGTTTGTTTTTATTAGGCCTCTACGAGTGTAAATTCTCTACAATAAGTTGATTAAAAATATAGACACTCCTTCAGTTAGTGGTTCCTAAGAGTTGGCAACCCAATGGGAGGACCTGTAATGCCGAGGGGATATCGTCTGTTCTCGTCTTCTCAATCTTGTTTCCCATGAGTTATCCTGGTGTAGTTGTGGGAGGGGGAAGATATGGCAGGTCCAAGCTCATTTAGTATCCTGTGCATCAAAATTAGTTCACCTCAGGTTTCTAAAAGACTTCTCAGGTCTGTATGATAAGCCTCAGTTCCGAAGTTTCCCAGAAAGCTGCCTACTAATTTGAACGAGTTTGTGGCCTGAATACAGTTTTTAGTTTATATGGCCTATATATACCTTATATAACATATTTGTATCCAACTTAGTAAATGGTCATAACACATGTAGTTCCACTCCCTCTAACCCTGGTTAGTAGTAAGCCGTAGTCTTTAATCGTAACTCTCACCCATAATTCATTGAGACAAGACTAGGGGCACTGACGCTTCACAACCAACATAAACATGTCTGACGTGTCTACAGACTTGATGATAATGATAGATGTTAGCTACTTTTAGAACAGCTTATCAGGGAGTCTGGACCGGTCTAGAGTGCCCACATCGTCATCTTCCGTCACTTTCTAGATCTTTAGTTTGCCTATGTAAAGTAGCATCGACGATTCACTCATATTGATTTAAAAAACCGAAGGATTTAAAATGATGCCTCGCGGTACTTCATGAAGTATTAATTCCCTCAAGGAGCATTTAGAATCTCTTTTTGCCTATCAAAAAGTCTTTGATCCACTTAAGCGCGGATCCAAAAACTAAGCCTCTCAGTTTCAATAGGAACCTTCTATGTGGCACCCTATCAAACGCTCATCTGAAGTTTTCCAGTCAGTCAGTAACAACGTAGAACTTTGTACGTACGTACATCAGTTCGAGTTGCCATACCACATTAGCACGTATGCAGTTGTCGATTCAAATCCTCTAGTTGTAGAGGTAGTAAAAGTAAAAGCAGTAATCGGAAAGATTAGGGTTTGAAGATGTTATTCAAGGAGTATAATCCAGTGAGATAAATTTGGAAGAAAAAAAAGTGCATGAAGAATTCAGTAGACTATAATTTCGGAGAACACAGTGGATGGACCTGCTCACACCATTGCAAACGATTTTGAGCTATGTCATTCAAGGTCGCTAACCATCGGTTGCTGTCGTCTCACGGATCCCAACCAAGTAGTCTACACCTACCAACATGGCTCAGTCCATTTGTGAGTGACTTCATGGATTTGTTCTATATTTTGGTCTGGTCGCCCCTAGCTTCCAAAATACTCCTACACTGTGAAGCATCGCACGTCTTGGCAGTCGGTGGTTGGGCATACGTAACATATGTCCCAGCTATCCCAACTGATGAAGTTTCATTACTTCATCAATTGATTTGTCATCCTTACCTAGTACCCATTTCCTAAAAATTGTTACTTGATCGATGGTCCCAGGATATACGAGCAATGCTTCGAAGACACCTATGATCGAATACTAGTAACCTACGAATATTCTCTACTCTTACGGGCCATGTTTCAGTGCCATAAAGTAGGATGGAGTGAACTACTGCGCAGTAAAGCGTCATTTGGTTGGTAGACGGATATTTCACCTACTCCATAAATAACTCAAGTTGGCAAAAGCTAATCGAGCCTTCTGTATCCGTGCTGTAATTTCATCACATATCAGGCTACAAGGGCTGATGAGACTCAAGATAAGTGAAGCGGTCAACCCACTCAACTACTTCATTCCCTGTCATTAGTTTAGATGTCAATGCAACCCAATCCTGAAGCAACATTTTTCATTTCGAAGTTTTAACAAACAACATTCATTAATTGCATGTGGGGCTAATCCTAAGTTAAAATTAGGAGCATGTGTAAAGTCCGTCTCAAAATAATCAGCTATGGCTTTTGCTTTAACATTGTTTTCTATCATTCGCGATGCACTTCCTTTCGTAATTAGTTTAGGGTTCCATGAGTGGGTTTTGTAATAGACTTATGCGAATAATCGTTTCAACTTTTTGGTTTCAGTTGGTTTCTGTACTTCTGAATGGCACGGATTGTACCGGTGCATTTATTCCTGGTCGATTTTTACTAAGACTAGTAAACCTAAAATCTGACTTTGGATGTAGGGCAGTGTATCTAAGTACAGTACTTCCCGTTAGTCTTTAATTTTCACTGAATCAGTAAAGCAAGCACTGCACAGGTCTCGATTTCATAATCACCTTGGGTGATTATAGTCCATTTTGTTTATTTTCCTTCAGAAAACACAAGTTATCCAGTGGGCAAGATTCGACCAACAATTTAACCTCTTTTTGGTCCCATGTTTGGATTTCCCATTGACGTGGTACAGTTTACTTTCAATTGAGAGGTCAAATATTCAAGTCCAGCCCTTTGAGCGAATATATATACTGGTACAAGAGGGCACCAAATATATATGGGCCACACTTTGTCATCCTATTTCTATAAGGGCTGTGATACTGCCCGTGTGCGCAAACCGAGACATGTGGTTTCCCTAAAGGGCAACTCCTCGGGCCTTTGACCTAGAGGTCGAATACACAAGTCAACGGGACAACTTTAGCAGATGCAGTCCCATGACAGCCGGTGGCCAACAATATGTTCATACGCCTTTTGTTTCCCCAGGATCCTGTAACCCATGTGTAACATCTGGGTTTTCCAACTACCCTAGGTGAACCCTTAGTGTTCACCAACTGACGGAAATTCCAAAAATCAAACCACAGGTTTAATGGTATTTTTGTACATCATTCACAACTCAACATCTTGTTTCGTCTTAATTCCTTTAAAGTATTCGGTAATTATTCTAACCGGTTGCTCTATGTCCCTTAAGTCACACTTTATGAATCGGTAACCCTACTTGGGTGCTAAACTGAAGTAATTGTAAGTAGAGTTATAGCCACTGCAATACCCCTCTAGATCTGGGCTGAGTAAAACATGTAATCGTTCTTGTTTCCACTTGGAAATGTTTTTGCAGATGTTCGTTCGTTTATGCGTTTCTCAAAGCATGAAATTTCGAAATTTGTGTTAATCGAAATTAATGACTGAGCCAACCTGTAAAAAATAGGTCGAATGATAAAAATACGAATTTTTTTATCTCTATTTTGTCTTGAAAATCAAATGGAGAGGCCGTTTTCCAGTGAAACGTTCACGGACGTTTCACTTTTTTATCTATTAAACAATAATCCAGTGTTGTCTAATTTTTTTTATTCTGGAAATCTCCTGGTTCCAGTGATACATTTTGATTTACTCTTGTTGCAGAACAAAGAATGTCTGTCATCATTCGACTCCAAAACCTACCAATTTCAGCAAACGCCTCAAATATTCGACGCTTTTTCAGCGGGTTATCCATTCCTGAAGGGGGCGTGCACATCGTCGGGGGCACAGAAGGTGACGCATTTATTGCCTTTGCTACAGATGAAGATGCAAGAAAAGCTATGCTGCTTGATCGACAAACGATCAACGGGGCATCTGTTCGCCTGTTTCTGAGCAGTAAAGCCGAAATGCAGTCAATAATCGAATCTGCAAAAACTTCAGCCTTATTTTCTAGTGGAGGAAATCCGGTTTTATCTCAATCTATCTCTCAAAAGACTGAAACTATGCATGCACTAGATGTGACAGCTCCTACACTGCCCAGTTCCTTCCCATCGTACCGTAATGGAGCCGCTCGTGAATCATTTGACGATTCCTCCAAGCAGTATCCTTACACCTATAGCAAAAGTGTAACCCTGGATCCCCCTCGTGGACAAATTGAATCAGCTGAACGTAACAACCCGGACAAATATCCCGAAAATTTACCTCCAGATAGACCTCATTTTAGTCAGGATCGAGATTATAGTTACAATAACCAACCTAACATGCATTCAAGGTATGATGCAATACGAGACTTCCCACCAACTAACGACTATGGTCCAAGAGATACATACTTGAATAACCGAGGTGACTTGGGACATAGATCTTATCGCGATGATTACGATTATAGTAGGCACCCGCCATCAGTTACTTCTGAAGACAACTTCGTCCCGAGAGGCAAAGACAATGAAGGCAAAAGTAGTCCAAGGGACTCTTATGCTGATCCTTATTCTGCGCTACACGTTTCGGATGGTATGACGACAGATTATGATAAGTACCGTGCACAATCTCCTAGAGTATTCAATGATCGGTTCCTTCCACATGATATTCAATCACGTGAATTTGGTCATGGAAATACCCACCCGTTTCCATCAGAATTTAGAAGTGGACCGGGTCATCCGCTTGATCGTGAGACTGCATGCACTAATTCTAGGTTGCAAGAGGAACGCGATTTTTCTGTTAGACCTCCGTGGCTCAACGATAATGCACCCGTTTCAGGACCAAAGCGTCCATTCCAGCATCAGACTTCAGACTTTGAAGAGTACCCACGAAAACGTCGACCACAACCCTCATCATATACTCGCCCATCTGACATAGTGCCTGGAGAAACTGATTACGTACTAAGAGTTTGTTTGCCCGCCCCAGAAGCTGGGATAAAGACTGTTTCGAAGTTTTACGTGGCGTCCAAGTTGTTCCAAAATGGGGTATCCGGGTTGAAGAAGATTTGCTACAACGTCCCACTGGGTATGTGTTTATAATGATGACAACTCGTGATTCGTATGAGCGAGCACTCAGTTTTAATAATCGTCCTCACAAAGGTGACGTAATAAAAGTAGTCAAATGTACTCTAAGTGAATTTTACAGTGTTAGTGATACAAACTTTACTTCAAAATGCCCTCCAGAGGTTGCCAAAAAACTTCCACCACCTGATCAGTGCTACCCTCCTCATTACAACGATGGTTGTCTTGAGCTAGCTGAACTCCCATCTGATACCACCAAGACAGAGGTAGTTCGGTTTTTGGGTGCTCCTGGTCTAACTTGTGAAAATGTTGTACTGGCTCGTTTCCCTCCAAATGATAAGTCTGCACCACGCAGTACCAACTTAACTAGGGCACTAGTTACGCTTCCTTCTGCAGAGGATATCAAAATCCTTCTTTCTGCCAAACCACGGCCATTTCGACCAGATGTGGGACTTCCACCAGTGCGCCTAACACCAATATCGAAGTTGCAAGTCACTGCTTATTCAGCCTTAGCGATCGGTAATAAATCTGAAAGTACTAAAGAGTCTGTCAAACCACCTGTTCCTCGTGATGTCGATTCGGAGCCTACTAAACCACCTGGTGGCTTTTTGACATGTGCTTGTGTCAGTGGGTTTTCTCGCACAGTAAAAGATTCTGAAGTTCTGAATCTGTTTCCGTCCATCCTAATTCCTGGAGATGCGGTACGACTGGCTCCTGATGCTAATATTGCTTTTATTGATTTCATTAGTGAAAACAACTGTCGTCGTGCTGTAAATGAAGCATCGACTGAAGGTTCTAAGGCAAAACAGTCACATCCATCTCTTCATATAGAAGCCATTTCTCGAGAGGAAATGCTGAACCGTTTGGGTGCCGATCCAAAAGATGAACAACTCAACTTTGACAGACCTGGAAGATCTCGTGACAGAGATCCTCGGGAATCCCGCATCCATTGGGATCAACGCCAGCGTCCGTCACCTTCGAATCCATTTGAGAGCCGTCCCCAAGTGTAGGCAGAGCTAAGTACGATGACTCTTACTATGACCGCCCCGCTGTACCTGCCCCTTTTGATGACCATCACGACTCCTTCCGTAGGTTCCGCCCGCCTGTGGATAATTTACATTCTATCCCACCACACCAATCAGATATTTCATCTGTTCCGAGACAACCTGTTCCTCTTCCACATCGTCGCCCAGTTCCTGACTTTGTTACAGTTTTTGTCGGAAATCTTCCACCCGCATGTACAGTTGATCAACTAGCTGGAATAATGCGGGATTATTACTTCGTTCCGGGTTCGATAAGACTACGCCGTGATCCTCAAGGGCAGTTTGTTGGTGAAGCGTTAGTTGATTTCAAAACAAGTTACGAAGCTGATAGGGCGCTCAGAGGACTAAATGGATATCGAGTAGCCGGTCGACCTTGGTATTGCATTTTGATCACCGGAAGTAACAGGTAAGATTTTTATTTATTTTATATTGTAGGACTACTCGTAAACTTTTTATGTAAAGTAACTCCTTGCATTTTTGAAAATCTTTGTGTAACTTAGTTATTTTCTGAGATTTGAAACTAGAATTTGACTCAATATATCAATCCCTTGAATAAGTCCTAGTCTTTTTTCTCATATATGGGTCAAATCGTACCCAATGACTAAGTTAGTTTGTACCAAAACATTTACGTACATCCTCTCGATTCATTAGTATTCCTATATTTTGGGTGTGTTTATTGTAAGATCGTTGTTAACATTTCCTTCAACATACTCTAAGCCAATGTTTCCAGATGATATCAAACTACACCAATTATTTCACAATTGAGAACATAACTTATGGTGTAAGTTAACTATAAAGTCTCACTTTGTAAGCATATTTGAAAGTTAGTCCACTGGTTAACTGCCAGTAAGTTCTGTGAATACGTTTCTAAGGGGGATATCCAGTGTTTCCGTATTCTCATTAATGATCACTTGTAGGATTTTGAAACAAATGTTTATTACCATCCAATCGATTATCAATGTTAAGAACGTCTTAACTCTTCATATTTGGTGTGTTCGCAATTTACGATGGTGAAGTGTATATCGTTGACTTTATTCGTTAATAGTTCCTGTAAATTTTAATAAGTTTGTTCTTGTTTAACTTTCATAACACGATGATAAAGTATTTGTTACGTCAGTCTGGATTTCTGGTAAACATTTCATATGATATTATTTGATTTAGGGGATCCAACGGATCGCGAACTTCCCATAAGTTCCATTAAATCTTAATATTTGTATATAGCGTGAGAATTATTTAGTACAATAAGGTAGGGGATATGCTATAAAAATCATCTAAAAAGAAATAAAAACCATTTAATTAAGTAGTTCAAGTAATGTCATAACCAAGATAGATGTCTTCGACTAAAGGTGTGCGTCATATCAAATTTTAAAATTTGCTATCGAGAATTAATAGTACCGTCACCTACTGTATTCTAAACCATGTTACTGAATCGAGTTGTCTTTGAGGTCCTATCTGGAGTGTTACAGTAACGCACTAACTATCCTTCACTACACCATACCATAGACTTTCTTCCCTCACACTGTCCCAGTGTCATCGAATCAAAGGTACGGTAATAATCACTGGTATACATTCTGCGTGCCATAGTTATTATTCTAAGGAGGTAGGGCTAATTGAATTATGGTCATTATTTCTAACTCCAAGTATTCAGTGCCAACAGTCCTTCGTAAATAGCGATCATAGGTGGTTACTAAAAATCCTTTACCCGAAGTCAAGTTTTATTAGCATGGATCACATCACTGTACCACTCAGCTCTTATGCCTGAAATAGTTTTGTAAAATGTTACTAAACTGACATAAGAATCTGACTTTCTCTATCTGTAGATTGATTTAACCAGTCATATTATCATTATCACTCACATGACCCCGTTGATACCATTTTTAAAAGTGTATGCAAGAAAAAAATCTTGACAACCATATAAATCAATCCGCTGATATATACCTAACCAAGCGCTCATTATATGCATTTTGTAATCTTTTTTTAAGAAATGAATAAGACAGTTATTTCAGAATGGTAGATATTTTGCAGTCAACAGGCGTAATATGGCGGTCGAAGTCACCGTAACGAAGGTGAATTTGAGCTGCCAAAGTACTCTTTAGTGTTCTAAATGTATACAAAAGTTGTGAATTAACGAACTATTATCTCACGTTTTATTTCACCCATACTAGGATTTTAGCAGCCGATAGGTGGGAATAGCTCTCGGCGTCAATCAAATGCGTTATATTATGTGCAATTTGACAATGAGATCCAATCACCAGGTTTCTTGACCGTTAAGTTTTGTAAAAGTTTTCGCTACAGAGAATTACGCTTCACCGATGAGCGTCAAAAAAACATTACGAGTCCTTGAAAACCAAGAGTTGATAAGTACGGCATCTCACAGAGTTGCATGCAATTTCAGCTTACCGTCTTCAACCGACTGTTAGTAAGCCTCTAATCAACTCCTCTAACCTCAGTACGATGCCACAATCAGCAAGATTGGGCAACGAGCCTTAATTTACTTCAATAAAGTGCTTTAAATGACTTGACAAAATGGGAAATTTTGGATAATCATTGTAATCTTGAATAATAGTCTCGGATACATCATAAGACCAAAATTTCCCATTGTGCTTCTTACCTGTATCTGTCTCTTGTTTGTATCGAATACTACACGTTAACGCATATATTTATTTTCAATGTAGTCACAAGTGTGGAACTTCTAGTCGAAATGAGAATTCCGACAACGATAGGGTAATTAATCAAGTTTTAAATTTGAATGGAAGGATTAAGAGTTACATGCGAGCAATGTATTAGTGTAGGGCGGTATAAGATGCAGTTGTTTGCATTAACGTAATTTTGGCATTTAATAACTACCCTATAAGACTGGTAATGTACGTTCTCATTTAAAGTTGTCACGGTTCCTGTAAAAGCATTTTAATCAGAGCGAATTTCTTTCCTGACGAACTTTTGATTTGAATTTCATATTCACAAGACAGTCGAGCGACGTGAGAAATTCGTTGGTTGGGTAGCAGGTGATAGATGTGCGTTCACACACCATTCATCCACTCACTGACGATCATGGCGATAATATATTCGAGGTTTTCCGATTATATATCCATTGAACTGACTTCACCACCGGACATTCATGTACTATCCTTCCGTTTATTAGAAGAACTGACCACAATAATGTGGTGTGGCCATAAACGCTCGACCATGTCAGCGTATTTTATAGAAAATAGCTGCGCCCATCAAGTAAAAAAAGAATATTACAGCTCAACTCAGGTCGTGTTGTTATTGTTATGGACTCATGCGTAGATCATATTTAGTGATGTTTTAAGAAAAAATGAAGATGGTAAAGGAAGGAAAACAGGCCTCGGAATGTGGTGATTGCCTCGGTGACGAAATGAATTATAGATGTTAGTCGTTTATTACAATAGTTTCATTGTCGGTTAGTCATCTGTTATTACTTATTCCAATCGTTAGTTGGCATGTGTTTTTTTTCTGGACTGACGAACCTAGTATTAGCTAATTTAATTAAAGTTTTCAGCATTTCATTGTTTACAAATAAGGCTCTGTTGTTGAGAGTATTTTTTTGTAAAGATATTGATTTGTTATGCGTTTGAGCTGGACCGAACTGTAGAAAAGTTTTTTGTTTTTGTGTTTAACAAGTAAATGAAGCTTAAGTTTTGTCAAATTAAGTAACGCTCATGTTAATTTCCAAGTGATAGATTGAGTTAGGTAAATGTAACAATGAAAACTTCTAATGATCTACTAAATTCTCTGTTGTATATGGTTTTGTGAAATGAATAACCTGTTTGTCTTGAGTTGTGAACAAAAAGTGGTGGTATATAAGTTGAGTGAAATAACGCTGGGAAATAAAGTTACTCGACTGAATACGATATTAGCAATATTTCAGGAAGATACTTGGACACTTGATGATTATGATTCAATGCCGCTTTATATTCAGGTATTATATTCTTTCTAAATGGTTTTACTTACATTAAACGTATATAGGTTAGTTAAATCGCAACATTATGGGAAAGTAGATATGGTTGATAGGGGTTTACCGAAACTAGTTGTTTTATAAGTGTATGGTATAGCTTGTTGAAATGACTGTTATTTAATGTATTCTGTACATTTCTACTGTTTGGAAATGAATACAGACTAGACGCGAAGAAATGTTGCGCAAAATAATTGAATATTCTCAAATTTTGTACTTGATTTAAGTTTGATTGTAATAATTTGCACTTGTTTATAATCGGTTACTTATGTATTGTTAAAATAAAACAAGAATTTAAGGCTTCTAGTATATTGATTATTGTTTGGTTAATCAACTGCCGCGTTCAAGATTTCGTTCTGAGATGCAAAGAAAGCGGAGTGACACTAATTTAACTAATGGATGTTAAGTTGTTGCATAAGTGATGGTTTATGACTGGTTGGTCATGGACCGTTATTACTATTGATATTAAAATATTAAGTAACTTAGTTATTGAGAATTATGAAGCATGTAGAAATGTGTGTTTTGTATGTTATTACGTTAGCGAGTTCATTTAATGCGAATTCGCTAAAGCAGTTTAGGTTTGTGCAAGGGCTTTCTATGCCACGAATCATGCATTAAATGACAATACTCATATTACTAAAAGTATTAATCATCTGATCAGGCTGATTGAAATGGCTCAGATGAGTGGTCGGTGACTGAGAAAGTGTTGGGCGGTAGAAATTCCTGTGGCAACAGTTATTGCATAAAAAAATAAGCACAAAAGAGTTGAACTCTGGAATAATACATATATAACAAATAGCAAATGAATGATGGAAATTAAAGAAAGTCACAGACTTGATACCAGGAATTCAACTGAAAATCCATTGATGTTCAGCAACGAGCGTAGTGGAGATTATGCGTTAAAATCAGGATAAACCCTATTGATGTAAGCGTGATATTATTTCGAGTACAGTCAAAGCAAAGAATCAACCAGAACACAGAGGGTAAACAGTGTTAAAATGAGTAATCTCGTTGTGTGTGTGTGTGAACCATGACTGCAAAGTTGGAGTTGACTCAACTCAAGTGATTTGACAAAAGCACCTGAGAATTTTGTAGCGGTTCATGTCATTTGCATAATTTATGAATTTGTCGTGAAATTATGCACCATGAAAACGAGATATTTACATATGTAGACAAACATTGTCCAGTTAATAAACAGATTAGTAAGATGATATTTAATAATAGATTGAATTGTGAGTTGACGAACTATTGACTAACTTATCAATGTAACTGGGAATAGCCGACAAGTTTTAATTCGAGTGGTGATTATCTATCTGGAATTGACAATTAGAATCGTAGTGATTATTTTCAGCCTCTGATCATATCGACTATGTTCTGGAGGTGTTCATATATGTATTTGAGTGGTGGTTGTACAAGTTAGGGATTTGTGAACGATGATGCTTAATATGTAAATGTGGATTTTCAATGACGACGCTAAATGTTATGTACACATAAGTTGAACTGATGGGTAATCTATTTGTCAGTGAGAATCGATTGAATTAATCACTTACGACTTGAACATAAAGCGTCATATGTGGTTAATAGATGATGATGATGAGTGAATGAAGTTAATTTTTTGAAGTGGTATTGAGTTATTTATTGGGGAAGTATTGAGTTTCACACTGCATATACACTGAGTATAATACGAAACAGTTAAAAGTAGGATATGAATAAAGAAAGTGTATTAGGCGAGTTAATGTCAATGAAGTAGGCAGGTTATTTTTATTAAGATAGTAGTGCCTCTTTATGAATGGCTATCCCCAATATTGTTGGTTATAAGAGTGCATTGTTTAGTTCACAACTTCTGACTGGTCTGACTTAATTGTGCTATTTTGGGTAAATGACAAATGATCCTACTCTGTCTAATTATGTAACTGTTTGAGATGATTGTTTTGAGAATAGTTTTCGTGATGTACCTGGTAACTTTGGAGAGTAGATTGTCGTTCTGATTTATTAGCATTACGCGCATTGCTGATAGATAATTCAAAATAAACACCTAAGATAAGTCCGAGTATTCAGTTCACCAATAAGAACTGTCCTGATAATCATAAGCGGATATATAAGATTGTAAATAGCTCCGTATTAACCGTGATGCTGCATCAATCAGAATACGGTCGTGACAGGTAACTGTGATGCTAGAGTTACAATGATACTTCTCTATGCAGATATAACAATCATGTTTAATTATGAATGATCCTTTAGTAGGGATTTGACTAACTGTATCCATTGCTATGCAACCCGTTTGGCACTATCTAAACACAAGAGTGTGTAGTTGCAAATGGAGATATTATATATGCAAGTGTATGTATGAAGTGCTAAACTCCAATGACTATTATTATTATTATTATTATTGCTATTCTCATTTCTTTCTCTTGTTCAAAATGTAATTCTATTGAGTTTGATGGAAGTTACTTGAAAGTGTCTAATCGATGTGACAGCACAAAAGTTTGTCGATGACTGAACGTTCAGTGGATGATTAGAATTTCTATTATTAGAAGAGATGGACAATAGTTTTGCGATAGTGCGATGAGGCGATGCTTCATATGAGGTTGTGATTATTAGGTGATGACTTCATTTTAGCAGTATATTTGGTTGAGAAGCTGGTTGGGGGATAGTAAAGGATTGTTGTGGAACATTGTGAATTGATATTAATTTAGCATTTCATCATGTGAAAGATGGTAGATATGAGAACGAGAGAGTTGGGGTTTGTGAGTAACCCATTAAGTTGAGATTGCTTATCATTTGTGGAAAACATGGAGAGGAAAGTGAAATGAATAGGCTATTTAGGAGCCCTATTGTTTTTGGTATATAGTGCTGCGGAAGTTTGAGTGTTTCAAGTGTGATAGAGTATAATTAGATTATTTTAGACTAATAATTGGATATAGGTGGCCAGAGTGTGTATTCCTGGGAGATTGACCCCAGTAGTTTTTATTCCAATGTAACATGTCACTTAAGATTACAATGCAAAGACCAATTTCTCTTCTGTCTGTTACTACTCTAGTTTCGTGGACATCGACCGAGGGACCTTATGGCTTGTGGTGTTCTTTCAGCATGGATTCCTCACTATATTTCGTTTCAATTGGAACTGAATCAATTCGTGTATTTTTGTGAAGCAGTAGTTACAGTGTGTAGTTGACAGACTCTAAATCAGCCTATTACCAATTCTTCAGTCCAATTTGTCTTTTGTGTACAAACCTACTCGATGGGAAAAGAGCTTTTTTACTATAGTTCCTCTATGACTTTTCTACTCGTTTGACCTGTTGTTACCGTTGCCGTTATGTGATCGGGTTTTCCTATTTGGCTCTAAAATAAATTCGGTTTGTCTGCAGTTTTATTTGTGTTGAACGGGTGGATTGTAGGGGTGTTTATATTTGGATTTAGGGTTGAAATGGTAATGAAGCAGGATATTTAGTGAGAATAGAATACTTTTGCGTACACTGAATTGATGGAGGTTGTATAGATTTCAGTGAATGTTTCGTATGTTTCTTGACTTGACATTGATGGTTTTTATAAACGTAACAGTTGATGGTTCTTTTCTCTTATTATTTGTACATAGCGTAAGTACAATAATACAATATCCTACCAGGCTCAGTAAGATCGTTAAACTTTTTTTTATCGACTTTGAAACTTCTAGTCGAAATGAGAATTCCGACAACGATAGGGTAATTAATCAAGTTTTAAATTTGAATGGAAGGATTAAGAGTTACATGCGAGCAATGTATTAGTGTAGGGCGGTATAAGATGCAGTTGTTTGCATTAACGTAATTTTGGCATTTAATAACTACCCTATAAGACTGGTAATGTACGTTCTCATTTAAAGTTGTCACGGTTCCTGTAAAAGCATTTTAATCAGAGCGAATTTCTTTCCTGACGAACTTTTGATTTGAATTTCATATTCACAAGACAGTCGAGCGACGTGAGAAATTCGTTGGTTGGGTAGCAGGTGATAGATGTGCGTTCACACACCATTCATCCACTCACTGACGATCATGGCGATAATATATTCGAGGTTTTCCGATTATATATCCATTGAACTGACTTCACCACCGGACATTCATGTACTATCCTTCCGTTTATTAGAAGAACTGACCACAATAATGTGGTGTGGCCATAAACGCTCGACCATGTCAGCGTATTTTATAGAAAATAGCTGCGCCCATCAAGTAAAAAAAGAATATTACAGCTCAACTCAGGTCGTGTTGTTATTGTTATGGACTCATGCGTAGATCATATTTAGTGATGTTTTAAGAAAAAATGAAGATGGTAAAGGAAGGAAAACAGGCCTCGGAATGTGGTGATTGCCTCGGTGACGAAATGAATTATAGATGTTAGTCGTTTATTACAATAGTTTCATTGTCGGTTAGTCATCTGTTATTACTTATTCCAATCGTTAGTTGGCATGTGTTTTTTTTTCTGGACTGACGAACCTAGTATTAGCTAATTTAATTAAAGTTTTCAGCATTTCATTGTTTACAAATAAGGCTCTGTTGTTGAGAGTATTTTTTTGTAAAGATATTGATTTGTTATGCGTTTGAGCTGGACCGAACTGTAGAAAAGTTTTTTGTTTTTGTGTTTAACAAGTAAATGAAGCTTAAGTTTTGTCAAATTAAGTAACGCTCATGTTAATTTCCAAGTGATAGATTGAGTTAGGTAAATGTAACAATGAAAACTTCTAATGATCTACTAAATTCTCTGTTGTATATGGTTTTGTGAAATGAATAACCTGTTTGTCTTGAGTTGTGAACAAAAAGTGGTGGTATATAAGTTGAGTGAAATAACGCTGGGAAATAAAGTTACTCGACTGAATACGATATTAGCAATATTTCAGGAAGATACTTGGACACTTGATGATTATGATTCAATGCCGCTTTATATTCAGGTATTATATTCTTTCTAAATGGTTTTACTTACATTAAACGTATATAGGTTAGTTAAATCGCAACATTATGGGAAAGTAGATATGGTTGATAGGGGTTTACCGAAACTAGTTGTTTTATAAGTGTATGGTATAGCTTGTTGAAATGACTGTTATTTAATGTATTCTGTACATTTCTACTGTTTGGAAATGAATACAGACTAGACGCGAAGAAATGTTGCGCAAAATAATTGAATATTCTCAAATTTTGTACTTGATTTAAGTTTGATTGTAATAATTTGCACTTGTTTATAATCGGTTACTTATGTATTGTTAAAATAAAACAAGAATTTAAGGCTTCTAGTATATTGATTATTGTTTGGTTAATCAACTGCCGCGTTCAAGATTTCGTTCTGAGATGCAAAGAAAGCGGAGTGACACTAATTTAACTAATGGATGTTAAGTTGTTGCATAAGTGATGGTTTATGACTGGTTGGTCATGGACCGTTATTACTATTGATATTAAAATATTAAGTAACTTAGTTATTGAGAATTATGAAGCATGTAGAAATGTGTGTTTTGTATGTTATTACGTTAGCGAGTTCATTTAATGCGAATTCGCTAAAGCAGTTTAGGTTTGTGCAAGGGCTTTCTATGCCACGAATCATGCATTAAATGACAATACTCATATTACTAAAAGTATTAATCATCTGATCAGGCTGATTGAAATGGCTCAGATGAGTGGTCGGTGACTGAGAAAGTGTTGGGCGGTAGAAATTCCTGTGGCAACAGTTATTGCATAAAAAAATAAGCACATAAGAGTTGAACTCTGGAATAATACATATATAACAAATAGCAAATGAATGAGGGAAATTAAAGAAAGTCACAGACTTGATACCAGGAATTCAACTGAAAATCCATTGATGTTCAGCGACCAGCGTAGTGGAGATTATGCGTTAAAATCAGGATGAACCCTATTGATGTAAGCGGGATATTATTTCGAGTACAGTCAAAGCAAAGAATCAACCAGAACACAGAGGGCAAACAGTGTTAAAATGAGTACTCTCGTTGTGTGTGTGTGTGTGTGTGTGTGTGAACCATGACTGCAAAGTTGGAGTTGACTCAACTCAAGTGATTTGACAAAAGCACCTGAGAATTTTGTAGCGGTTCATGTCATTTGCATAATTTATGAATTTGTCGTGAAATTATGCACCATGAAAACGAGATATTTACATATGTAGACAAACATTGTCCAGTTAATAAACAGATTAGTAAGATGATATTTAATAATAGATTGAATTGTGAGTTGACGAACTATTGACTAACTTATCAATGTAACTGGGAATAGCCAACAAGTTTTAATTCGAGTGGTGATTATCTATCTGGAATTGACAATTAGAATCGTAGTGATTATTTTCAGCGTCTGATCATATCGACTATGTTCTGGAGGTGTTCATATATGTATTTGAGTGGTGGTTGTACAAGTTAGGGATTTGTGAACGATGATGCTTAATATGGGAATGTGGATTTTCAATGACGACGCTAAATGTTATGTACACATACGTTGAACTGATGGGTAATCTATTTGTCAGTGAGAATCGATTGAATTAATCACTTACGACTTGAACATAAAGCGTCATATGTGGTTAATAGATGATGATGATGAGTGAATGAAGTTAATTTTTTGAAGTGGTATTGAGTTATTTATTGGGGAAGTATTGAGTTTTACACTGCATATAATACGAAAGAGTTAAAAGTAGGATATGAATAAAGAAAGTGTATTAGGCGAGTTAATGTCAATGAAGTAGGCAGGTTATTTTTATTAAGATAGTAGTGCCTCTTTATGAATGGCTATCTCAATGTTACGTTGTTTTATGAATGGTCTATTTAGTTTTTCGTTACTCTGTGAATATTTCTTTCCTCTACAGTTCCCTTTTTTTGTTACTTTTCATTACTTGATTTGTATTTTTCTATAAGATTCCTCAGTCCCTATTTCTTTATATGATCTAGTTTGTTCAGTTTAAGTATCACTATGTGTTTCTCTGATTTCTGATATTTGCTGATATATTTTTTCTTCTGTGTAGTCTTACTACTATCTATGAGAAAGACTGTTCTAATTAGTCTAATATTGATTATGTATGTATTTTTGTTTCTAACCTTTGAATTTGTAATTAGCGGTAATGGATATTTACAATTCAGTTATAGCATACCTTTTCATTTGTTATTTACTTTATATTTTTCGTATGTTTTACATGTTGATTCTTATTATTGTGCTTGTTTTCCATTACACTTATGTAACAATCTTTAAGATAATAGTAAATCATTGTTTATTTAGAATTTTGAACATCATTTTCGCTCTATGTGTATTGTGATAGTGTTGAAAATCTCCTCCGGTTTCGACGGTTGGTTTTCATTTCTTTCTTTTTTTTTTCTTCTGCAGTTCTCATCAGTTGATCATGTTTCATAGTTTCAGAATGATTTGAGTGACTTATTTTTTGTGTATGTTTTTTTTCTCTACCTGAATCATTTTCAAATCTTATCTTATTAGGACAGTTCAATATTATCTATGCCTTTGTTAAATGGTTTTATTATGTAAATGTTAGTTATCATTTAAAATAGAGTTTTAATGTAAGAATTATTACTTAGATGTTGTAAAAGTTCTCGATGAATATCTCAGTTTGAAGTGTTAAACATTCCTGAAACTGACATTACATAGTTCATCTTAACTTAAATTACTCCACTTATACTAGATGTATACGAGTATTTAAGCTGATATATTCATATATGTTGATTGTTAAATAATGCGAAAACAATTCTAATTTGTGCATTTATCGATAGGGTTACTTTATTGTGATTCAATAATTATCCATCACATTGATTAATACGAAATGTTTAGATTTAGTGCGAGTATGATTTTAATTAAATATGATGTAGAGGTTAAGCGTTCGAGCACAACATTGACAGATCATGGGTTCGAATCTCATGAGACGGGATCGTGGATGCGGACTGCTGAGGAGTTCTACAATAGAACGAAACGACCGTCCAGTGCTTTTAGGTTTTCCATGGTGGTCTTAGCTTCAATTGACTCATGATTTCAACTATTGAAAATAAAATAATTTCTTCATAAAAATCTATCTCAAATAAAACTAGACAATATAGATTACTAGATGACTGTAGTTATCATGTCTGTGTTCAACTTGTTATGGAAATGTGAATTCCAATAATTGGAAACGT